GGAGGATGGGTTTGTAGCTGTAGGCTCCCATGCCCTCTGGTTCCTGGATGGATTTGGCCAAAAGATTGGAGGGTGGGAGGAGAGTGAGGTCAAGGTGACTGAGGGCTAACCAAGTCGTCTTCCAGCATCCTTGTCAGGTGCCTCTCCTTTTAGTACCCCCTTTACACTCTGCAGCATGGCCAAGGGTTAGTGAAGGCCTATTATAAACCCTGGGTGGCTCTATTGCCCTTGATGGTCTCCCTGAACCTCCCTTTTATAGGTAATATTTTTTGTAGCTCTCCCCAGACTACTGCTTTGTGTCTTTGAGATTATGACTGATATGGGTGTCATGCTTAAAAAAAACAAACCTCTCAGAATATAGCATAAATATTCATGACATTTTCTTTTAGTGTCATTTTAAACCATTCCAGGTTTGTACATTTTCATCTTATTCATCCAGAGGAGGTGAGGCTGGGGTAAAGTACTGAGTCTGTTTAAGGCACTTAATGAGAACATAAAATGTTTGGTGCCAAGACGCCTGCATCAGTGTGTGGCTGAGAAGTGGAGATGTACTGAACGTCATGAGGATAGCCAGCAGCCAGAGGGTGCTGCATCTGGGATTCACGTGAAATTGGCAGCTCTTGCCACAGGACAGCAAGGGTGATGAGATGATGGATGTGTTCACTTGATTCACTGTAGTAACCTTTTTGTCATCTAGATGTCTTTGTGGCCTCACGTTGTACACCGTAACTATACACGAGAAGACTTATTTAAAAACACAAGCCCCTGCACCAGAGAGCCCTGATGTGGCTTCCGATGAGCAGCTGTCAAGTGTCCTTTTCCACTTGGTTGGGTTAATGCTCATTGCAGAGCCCCTCCAGCGCCTGTGTGTCTCCCATGTCATCTGCTCAGATGCTGCTCTAAGGCCTTGATAATTGGTGTGGGTTTGTAATGTGCCATTATTTCTAGTTATTTAAAAGTGTACTGCAAGTCTTTCTGTCAGTTTCTACTTAAATGTGTACATGGTAAATCTTTGTATAATACTGTTTGGTGCTGATGAAGTGGATGTACCCCATGAGTCAGGTGATTATATGTCCCAGTTAGCCATGCATGTTCATGACTTATGCTGGTTTGCTGATGTAATTGTTAATAGTGCCCACTTTCAATTTCAAGAACAGCCCAGTATGGATGATAAATTCCTTATGAGTGAGTCAAACATACTTTGGTGCTTTGATAGTTAAATGTCTATTTAAGGAACATAAGACACGCCTCTTCTGTCATTATTTCCTATTTTAGTAAGCAGTGTTATTTGATGGCTTTGTTACTACACTACTACAAATCACACAGAGGACAGTGTGGTGTGGGTAGGTGTGTCCCGCTGGGTCTGTTTGCAAGGGGAACTGCCTGACTCATGCAGCACAAGGAGCAGCTTTCCTGTCCCAGCTTATGGAAGTTGGGACACAAGCCTGTCCTGAGGGCAGCCAGGGACCTTTGAGGTGGCACTCTGAGCCCAGACAAGGTTGATAGCTATCATGTGGCCACTTTGAGTCCCTCTTTGAGAATGTGAACTGGAAGAACACGAAGATGAAGCACTGAATATTGGAGAAGCTGAAAGTCATAAGGGACCAAGAAGTAGGGGCAAAGGGGCCCCCGGAACTGAGGGAAGAGCTTTGAGGCAGAGGATTTGTGGAGTGGAGAGTAGGGATCTGGTGGCACCTCCTGCTCAGAAGGTGGAAACTGCATACATATACCTGCCCAGGCCAGAAGCCTGGGGTCACCCTTGACTGCTCTCTCACGCCTCACATGGAGTCCATCAACAGGCCCTGCTCCTACTTTAAAAGTAAAAATAGCAAGAATGTGGTCCTTTTACTGCTTGGCCACCATCACCCCTTGTACGCAAGCTTGTCAGCGGCTGGCCTGGCTGTGTAAAGTTTGTTCTTACCAGCAGCCAGAGTGGTCTTGTTACATAGGAAGTCAGATTGCTTTGCCCCACCCAGAACCCTGGCAGGCCCACCCATCTGACCCAGAATAGAAACCAGAGTCCTTAAAATAGACCCAAGGCCTTCCAGGGTACCGCCTCTCACCTGCTGCACCACCCCCCACGCTCCCCCCCTCACCACACCGCCCAGTTCTTTCTGCTCCAGTTGTACTGGCCTCCCCACACCTCACCCCAGCACCTGTTGTGCATATGCTATCCAGCTGGTGCTCTCATTGTTTGCCTGCCTTCCCCATCTCCTCATACAGTGGAGACACCATGAGGGCAACTATGTCTGCCTGCTTAGCCCTCTGATGTCTCCCTAGGGCTCTGAGCTCATTGTGCTCAGCAAATGCTTGAGTGAAACAAGTGAAGGCTAAGAGGATGGATTTGATTGTAATAGAATAAAAATGTGTAAGATGGAAAATACAACTGCAGTTAAAGAGTTGAGTGTGAAGATATCTGCAACATGAATGCAAAGAATCAGTAATCTATAGATTAGGAAGAAAAATGGGCAAAAGGTGTGAACAAGCAATCAACTAAAAGAAAATGCTTTAAACTCACCTCAGGTGACCAGTGATCAGGTTAGTGTGCACCGCCAGCAAAGGCAGCCCGTTTTCCACTTGGCAGACTGCAGTTCAGTGCAGCATGGTGGGAGGGGTCGGGCACAGGGCAGCGACTGCAAGAGCTGGCGCACAGACGTACACTGTCCTGCCTTCCAGTATCTGCTCCAGAGAAGGCTTCGCTTGACAGTATATAGAAAATGGGAGTGACCTGTCTCCTTGCAAGTTGGGGTCAGCACCTTCAGAGCTGCACCTGAAGATGGAGATGTCAACTTGGCAGTCATTAACCTTAGGGTTTGAGATTGAGCAGGGTGGGAGCAGCCCTAGCTTCATCAAGAGCAGAGACTGGAGAGGACAAAACTGACCTTGGCCTCTGCAAAACAAAGGAACTTTTACATATGCAGAAGAGGCTTGGCCCGTTAGTGCCTAGAGGCAGTGCAGCGTTATCTGCCACAGGTGCTGACATTGCTTTCTTCTCTGAGGATCTGGCAGAGCCAAGCAGGTGCAGGCTTCCTGCAAAGCTGCTGTGGAGTTCACACTGCAGCTGACTTCTGGGAGGAAGAAGCTCTGAGTGTAGCTCAGATCAGCTCCCTGGGGCTCTACAGCCAGGCCAGTCTGCAGGCAGGCCCCATAGCCCTGTGGGTGCCAGTGTCCACTGTGAGCTGGGGCCAGGGAGGACACTCACCCCATGGGTGTTTTCGTGGTTGATACAATTAGGCCACATCTGACTGGACACAAAGAAGCACCCAACAGTGACAGTGAGTCAGGTAGTCGGGTACTGGTTGTTCCTTTTACTTATTACTTGCCAGTGTAAAAACAGCTATGGAGCTCCGTAGTCCTTCCCATGAACACACAGGAAGTCACAATGGACCCAGGAAACTCGACTCCTTAAAGAGATATGCCAAAAATGTGCATGTGATGTTGAGATTGGCAGAACAGTTGGAAACTACTTAAAGTCTAATGGGGGGGGATTGTTTAACTATTACATCTAGACTGAATAATAAAAATCGTGGAGAAGATTTTAAAAGTAAAACATGGATGGCCGGAAAGCAGTGTGCAAAATCTCCACATCATGTATATGTGACGATAAAAATCTGGAGCATGTACCCTGAAATGTCACCTGTGGTTACCACTAATGGGTAGGATCGACGTATTTTTTACCCTTATTACTGATTTTTTTAGTTTTCAGTCACAAATGAATGCCATGAATGTAGTAAACCTGGGCAGAGAAAAACATCTTGATGCAGCACCCTAGAAGTTGAAAGGGGACATGACTCAGAGCAACATGCAAGTCAGTGTGGCATTCCAGTATGATCTGAACTGTCATCCAAACATGGGGCTGGTCTGCTCCTCAGGCTTCTCTCAGTAAAGAGAAGCCATGTGGCTCAGTCTGCAGTCGGCTCAGGACCAACATGGAAACCCAGGCAAGCCACCCTCTTGTTCTTTTTCTCCTTTATAAAACTTGCTCTTAGGAAGTTATTTCATTTGGCTCTAGGTTCAGTGTTACTTCTGAATCTGCGAAAAAAGTACAGAGCCAGAGGCATCAGGCACTGACTTCAAAATGTACCACAGGTTGGGTGTGGTGCTGCGCTCAGCGCTGGGGAGGCTGAGGCAGGAGGATCTCCAGTGTGAGGCCGGCTTGGGCTACACCGTGAGACCCTTTTTCAAAGAAACAAAACCCAAAGCACTACAAAGCAGTAGCAACCAAAACACCATGGTACTGGCATATAGACAGTGCAATAGAATAGGGAACTCAGAAATCACATAGCCACAGGTAGCTGATGTTCAACAAAAGCATGTGTGGGAGGAAAAGTGGTGTGGGGAAAGCTGGATGTCCACATGCAGAAGGGTGAGACTTGACCCCTACCTCTCCTTACTAAAAGTCAGCTCAGGATGGATCAAAGACATAAGGGTAATACCCAAAACTAGGAAACTAGTAGAAGAAAAGGGGAAACTCTAAGATACTGTTATATAGATAATGATTTTGGTATAGGACTCCCAAGGCATAGGTAACCAAGGCAAAAATAGACAAATAGAATCATATCAAACTTAAAAAGCTACTGTACAGTAAAGGAAACAGTCCAACAGAATGAAGACACCAGGGATTAATGCCAAGAATATATAAGGAATTCAAAAATCTCAACAGAAAAAAGGAAATCTAATTGAAAAATGAGCAAGTGATCTGACATTTCTTAAAAGAAGAAATATAAATGGCCAAGGATATACTGTATGAGGCGGTATATGCCTGTAATCCCAGCACTCAGGAGATTGAAGCAGGAGGATCCCAAGTTCAAGGCCAGCCTGGGCTGCATCACAAGACCTTGTCTCAAAAAAAGCAAATGGAAACAAAATGACCAATATATATATTTTTTAAGTTCATCACTGAATCCTCAAAAATTAAAATCAAAACCACAATGAGATATCCTCTCTCTAAGTTGGAATGGCTGTTATCAAAAAGGCAACCCCCCCCAGAAAAAAAAAAACGAAAACAAATGCTATCAAGGATAAAAGATCAACTCTTAATACACTGTTGGTGACAAGGTAAATTAGTGTAGTCAGTACGGAGCTGGATCATCTACCGAATGATTCACCTGTTGCATTTCTGGGTGCAAATCTAGAGGAAATGAGATTAGCATATTGAAGCTATACCTGGAATCTCTGAATATTGGGGCTCTGTTCACTATCTCTATGGTACAGAACTAACTAAGGTGTCCATTGACAGATGAATGGAGAAGGGAAATGTGTGTGTACACAATGGAAATACTATTCAGCCATAAAAAGAACAATCCTGTCATTTGTGGCACCATGTATGAGGCTTAAGGACATACATCATGTTAAATAAGCCAGGATCAGAAAGATCCACATATTCATATGTGGAGACAAAAAAGTATATGCTAATCTGGCAGAATAGTGATCACTAGAGGCTAGGGAGATCAAGGGCAAAGAAGAGGGAGTTGGGTAATAGGTACCAAACACAGTTAGATAGGAGGAATAAGTCCTAGTGTTCTTCCTTATGGTAGAGTGACCATGGTCACAATGCCTTCTTCTATATTTTGTAAAGAACTAGGAGAGAGGAATTGCAGGGTTCCCAGCACAGACAGATGGCCCATATTTGGGAGAGGGAAGTGCTAATCCCCCGGATTTGGTCGTTATATATTGTAGCCACACTGTGCTCCATAAATGTGTTACACTTGTGTGTCACTTGAAAATAACTTAAAAGAGGAGGCCGCAAGTGTGGCTCAAGCCATAGTGTGTCTGCCTAGCAAGCTGGAAGCCCCAAGTTCAAACCCCAGTACCAACAAAAACAAAGTAACAAAAGTTAAAAGTGGATAAAATTGACCTTACACTGATTGGGAGCTTGGCCCTTTGCGGGGGGTGTGTGTGTGTACTGTGTGTTGGTGTGTTTATGTGTGTGTGGTGTGTGTGTGTGTGTGTTTGCCTCTAAAATCTGCCGTCTGCTTTTAGCTTGTGACCTCATACCATACTGTACTGGTTGCGGTCTTAGTCACTCTCTTGAGAAATGTGCTATTTCCTCAGCGTGAGAGGACCAGGGAGTTTTAAGTGATTCTGTTCTAAGAAAGCACTTGAAGATGAAGGGGAAAATAGCAGCAGGCACCCCCCTTCATGGCTGGGGGCGTGGAGGGGAGGCAGGAAAGCTGCCCGGAGCGCCTTAGCTCAGTGCAGGCTGCTCTCAGGGAGGAGGTGGTTAGCACTGGAAGGTGCTTGAACTTGACTTGAGGAACTGGGTGGTGGCCCTGGCTGCCAGTGAGGAGCTGCAGTTTGATTGGCCAGGGTGTGGCCAGCCATTCCTCTTGCAATCCAGGAAGCAGTGCTGAGCTGTCCTAGTGGCTACTCTGCCCCAGGTATTCCCGGCCCCACCCAGCCACAGCTGTAGGAAACTTTGCTCGGATTTAGCCACAATTCTCCTTTCACGGGCAGAACACGGCAGACCTTTCCTATCCTATAAGGCAGCAAGATGGTCCTTAAAGAAGAGGAGGATGGTGAGTCCTATTCCTAGGTTGGGGCTGGGCAGATGGAGTGGAGTTCTGAGGCTTTTTTGATCCATTTGTGAATGCCTATGAGGACAGCCCTATGGGGAGGAGTATCAATCTAGACTGTGCTTTTTCCCTTGTTCTTTAAAAGGCTGCAGAGTCTTAAGTGGGTAAGACGCTTAGCCTGTCACAGGTTGTGTATGTGAAAGAGAATAAGGTGACACTGTGTTTAAGTCCAAGTTGCTTTCCTTGTTGCTCCTGGCTGAACAGCAGGTGTTTCTTGGTGGTGTACAGCCTCCTGCTTGGTGATTGTCTTTCTTCCTGTAACTGAGGAGCAGTGGTCAGAAGCCCTGGGATCTGTGCACATCCAGAATGAACCTGAGCTAAAACATAAAGGCATCAAGAGGTTGAAAACACCAAGATTGAGGATTGCTTGCCTTACTGAAGGAAGTGTAGTCAAGGGAGAAGACAGTTGGGCTGTCTCTTTCCATGATAGGTGAGGAATGTTGGAGCCTCACAGCATCTGTAGGACTTCCCTCATCGTCCCCACACCCATGCCATAAATAGTGGTGCTGTAAGGACTTGACAGGCTGGCTCTAAGTCCCCTCAGACTGGCCAGGGCTCCCAGCCCACTGCCAGACTATGTGTGCTCACTGTGAGGCCTGCATCACATGTACTGGTTTGGTGCTGCAGGCGAGAGCAAAATGATGCTGGTCTGTAGCTGGTGACAAACCACAGGAACAGGTGTGAAATAAATATTAGGCTGCATGAGCCAATGTCCATCTTCCCTCTTTTTAAGTTATATCGGCCCCTCTCAGGGGACGAAAAGTCTAACATGGTAGGGAAGTGGTCACGATAGAGTATATTCATGTCATGAGGGAGAAAAGTTGGGCTATATGTCAAAGTGGATTTCAAGGAAGTTCTAAGATACATGCTTTTCCTTGTCTGGTTCACTGTAAAACACATATTTTAGTCTCAGTGCTAAGTACGGTTACCCTGGACACAGTCCATGGGGTGATTTGGAAAGCTGAACCATGTGTGAAACACTCTGGTGAAGAGGGATATGCAGGCGTTTACAATGACACTGTGTTGAAGGGGGGGCAGTAAGGAGGGATGACGCCAGGCCAGGGCTTAACTGCCACTGGGGAGGTTTTATGTGTGAAAGGTGAGTCCACACTAGCTACAGTGTCGAGCTCCCAAGGAACAGTTTGAGAGTCGAGGCAGAGGTCTTTTGGATGGTAGGTACAAGCCCACCAGGCCTGGCCTCGCAGTGACCACTGGTCACCTCATACTTCCTCCTGTTTACTTGCTGCTGGTCTTTCCAGATCTTCCTGGCTTCTGACCCGCCTAGAAGGCAGGTGTAATAGTCATTTCCAGCTGTAATCCAGAGGGGTCACATGTCATTGGCCTGTAGCCATTCTGGTGGCTTTAAAACTCAACATTGCTTCTCTGCCTGTGTGTACTTGGTTCAGTGGTGGGAATCATGGGGCAGGGTCATGATTGTAGGGGCAGAGATTAACGCCTGTTTCCCAACCCCCTCCCACAATTTTCCTCCTGTTGTCTATTTGTGATGACAGGATAACATTGCCTTTTTAACCACTGCTAAAATAGATGCCCTGAGGTATCACCGTTAGAGGTGAAGGGTTCAGGCAGATAGCAAAGTGGAGGGAACTAGGGGAGTTTCCTCCGGCAAGTCCCCACAGTCCTAGGGAAGGGGAGGGTTTGAGTGTTAGCATTGTGTGGCTCACACAGCTGCTTCACCAGTTTCATGGACTCCCACACGTACCTGATAAAGGGTGAGATTTTTTTTTTAAATACTCTTTCAAGAAGTCAGATCATTTCTTTCCTATAGCAGAATCTCCAGCCCACAGTCTTACATCGAATGTGCTGCTTTTTGCCTCCACTCTGACCTAGTACTGTGTTGTCAGTTTTCATCCCAGTGTTGTGTGTGTGTTTGCATGAGTGAGAATGAACCAGTGTAATTCATTGGACACTATTTTCTTAACTGTCATAAATTGAGCTGTTATTTCATCTTACCTTTTTAATATTCAGGCCCCCTTGATGTGTTGTTGAACCCTCTCCAGGATGGAGTCCAAACACCTTAGTGTAAGCTCCAAGGTCCTTCACAAGGAGACACTTACCTCTCTTTCTGGGGCCACCAGGTCCCAATGTGCCCAGGCCCTGACCTGTGGTATGCCCACTCTCCCCTAGTTCCTTATCTTGCTTGGGATTTGCCATTCCCGCTACTTCTCCATTTGGTCCTGTGTGTTCTGGCTTGAAGGCTGCCCTCTGCAGTCTCTTGACGTGTCCTAGCATCTCCTGAGCCCTTGGTGCGCATGACCACTGTCTGGGTCAGCTGCTGCCACAGTCACGCTGGCTGGGCCAAGGCAGTTATTTAATTCCCAGCTCCAAGCACAGGCTGCGCCTATGACAGATGCTCAGCAAATGCTGGCTTGCTAAACAAGACTGTAGATTTTGGTAGAATAAAGAGCTGAGGACCAGCCAGGGACCAGGATTATGACTGGGCTGTTGAATAGATGCTTGCCTTAGGTGATTACTCATGGAATCTGTGTCTTATCTGTTAGCTGAAGGGAGCATTCCCTGTCAGGAAATACGCTGTCCATAGTGGAGCTCTATTGTCCAATCTGAAAAATAGACAAGGCAAAACATTTGAAGTCATAGGAAACCAAGTGGGTACAATAGTACTATGTATAGGAAAATATGCCAAATTGAATTAAGTGTAGTGCCTCTGTCACAGGACACTGAGTTTCAGGTTGCACCTAAATTGCTCACCTTAGCCCATTGCCCATTCTCCTGCTGCCTTCCTGGTGGCCACGTAGCCTTGATTTGGAGAAGCTGCTTGGGCTTAGGTCTTAACAAGGAAGACCTAAGGTACAACAGCTATAAATTAATAGTACCCCATAGACATTTCTCCCTCCCTCCCTTATGAATTGCGTTTGTTCTTTTATAGAATCAAAAGCGGTTACATCTTTATTTTTAAGCAGGGACATTTATGGCATTGTACAAAGCACATATCAGAGCAAGAAACCTGTGTTGCCATCTGCTGTGATAGTTTTGAGGGGCCTCACTGTGGTTTGATTTTATAGGCTTTCCCACTGAGCACACTGGAGGCAAATACCCACAGTGTGCTACCCAGGTTTAGAGCTGCCTTTCTTCTTCATGAAGAAGGAGAACAGAAACAAGGGCTTGGAACACAGCTAACCTTTATCGATTGCCTGAGGCTTATACAGCCTCCCAAATTTCTCTTTTGTTGGGGGGATATAAAGGCACAGGCCTGGATGTAGGTGGGCTGGTCCCACAGTATAAGATGGAAGGTTTATGGGAGGCAGCAGGTAGGGTTTTTTAAGAGTCAAGTATTGGTGGGAAGAATAGGTGGGTTTTTGCAGACTGATGTCTGGGGCTTGGAGAGAGCCTTTGTTGGCCTGCAGAGTAGTCAGCTGAGGCAAGGATGAAGCTGGGAACTGTAGGTACAGGTGGAGTTGGGACAGGGTGGCCTGAGAAGAGGCCACTCCAGTTTCCAGCCAGCCCTGCTTGTGGCTCAGAAAAGTTTGCTGGGATATGTGTGCTGCTGGGACTGGCAGAACCTGCATGCAGTTTGCTGCTGACTGCGTTAAAGACAGAGGACAAGATCTTCTGGAAATACCCAACAGGTCCTATCCCTCCTTTTCCCCTTGGATCCTGACAACCCTTCCAAAGCAGCATCATTGAATGTACAGTGTTCTGGGTCTGTCTCTGCCCAGCTGAGATTTCCTTTTAGAAAGTGTGTCCACACTGCCAGGGCATGGCGGACTGCCTGTGTCCATAGTTCTGCATCTCCTGCTCACCTTCCCAGGATCTTCAGCTTCCAGGAACTCACAGTGCTCCATCACTTTGGCTCTTGAGAAGGCCTCTCTGGAAACAGCCTGATCAGGAATAAGTTAAACTGCCACCTTGGACAAGGTTTCATGCTGCACAGGTCACCAGTTACCTTTTCCTGCTTCTCCCAAAGCTTCGAGATAGGCCAGGGAGCCATGGAGATGGGGAAGGCAAGGCCTGCTGCCCTGCAGATGGGCTGCTGTGTGAGAACCTGCACAGCATGGGCCTTTCTGCTTTCCTTGAGAAAACAAGAACATTTCCTGCCTTGTCCCTGTTCTGTCCTCTACAGAGGAATTGTGGAAGTGAGTTTCTTTCCTGAGTCTGTGGGTTTCTGAGTCCCCCTTCTTCCTGACCCCTGAGCCTCTTTCTCTGTACTTTCTGCAGAATCAGGCTGAGTAGAATTGAGGTGAAGGGCCAGCAACATTGTCACAACAACATGGGGAGATACAGCATAAGAACCAAATTCAAGGATGCATCTTCCACACAGGAATGCTTAGGCAGGCAGTCTGGGCATGCAGACAGACCGGACCTCAGTAGCAGGTGTCGTGTTCATTGTGGATTCAGATACCCAGAACAGCAGAAGAGGAGTCAGCGCCCTCCCTCTCCCCAGGGTCCTCATTCAAGTGCATCCATCACGCTCAAGTAACTCATCAGGAGGATTCCCATGCAGCACTGTCCCATCCTCTTTCACTATTAGCATCCACAGAGCACCACACTCTTTTTAAGTCCTTTTCAGCTTTTATAATTTTGGTGCTCTATCCATTGGGTAAATTGTTACATACAACTTAAGAATTTAAAGTTAGTTTACATTTAAGAGTTAAGAAGCAAACTGTCACTTTTTTTCAAGTCAGAAGGTCTGTGTGTTTTAATTGTTGGGTGGTGTACAAGGTCATGTCAGTCTGCAGTGCTGCAGGGGCCACCTGTGTCCACACTACAGGGGCATGGGAGCCACTGGTTTCCAACATCACTAGGGCATGGGAGGCCACCCGTGTCCACACTACCACTTGGGTTATAATCTGCCTTTTACATTGTACTCTGGATCTCAAAGGCACAAAGCTTTGCCTGCCCTCTGCTTCCTACTCTTTGACTCTCCTGGGCCAACCCCTACCACAGTGCTGCTTTCTTCCTGCAGT